GCTAAGTTTTATACTTAATTAGCAAATAGATGAGGAAAAGAAAATAAAGGCATAAAAATTAGAAAGGAGGAGGCAGAGTTATTAATATGTGAAGATTTATTCATTCATTGAAGAAGTATTGAATTCCTATTATATTCTAGGTACTGATTTAAAAAGATACTAAAAATTTCTTTGTTTATAGAGCTTGCATTCCAGTAATATGCTATATATGACTGTGTACTTGGAAAATTAAGGGAATCAAGTGAGTACCACAAACAATACGAAATTTTAGCACAAAATTAGTAACTAATATGTGCTAACATATATATATATATGTGTATATTTATATATATACACACACACAAACAGTAAGCAGTTAGAAGATATAAGAAAATTGCTTATTTATATAGAAACCGGAAAGATAATATTCCTAGGAATAAATGTAATAAGGATGTGCCAGTCATGTGAGGAAAATTTCAAACAATGTTGAAGGATGCAAAAAACAAATTGAGTAGAGATGTCAATTCATTCAATGTTGATTTAAGAACTTGGTATAATCTCATTAAAAATATGAATAGGTTTTCTTGTTCAGTCATTTATTTATTTTGAAACTAGACAAGCTAATTCTAAGATTCATATAGAAAAATAAATAAGGATTTCTGAGTAACCTAACTGGTACAAGCGTAATAGAAAAATGCAAGAATAGATTCAGTTTCTCATGAAGAAAAGATGAACGATGGTATTGAGCTATCTGAGTAGCCATTTGGAAAGAATTAAAGTTAGATTCATACCTCCCACCGTATACCAAGATATAGTCCAAATGCACTAAAAATTGAATGTAAAAATCAGAACTGTAAATATATTAGAATCGAAACTGTAAATATGGGAACATTTCTTAAATATTTGGAATAGAAGGGCTTTTCTAATTTTGACCACAGATTCAGAAACTATAACAGAAAAGACTGATAAATTCAAATATGTTTTTTAAAAAACAAGCAAAAAAACATAAGATCATTTTTTTTTAAAGATTTTTATTGGGGAGTTGGGGGAAGGGGAACAGACAAGTTGCTGTCCTTTTGTTCTTCAGTATAGTTGTGGAGGATGTTGCTTCACTGGCCCAAGTTGGCACCATCATTGCGCTCTTCTCTGGCGAGGCAGATCAGTCGCCGGCTTCTGGATGGCAGCTCACAGCGGCTGCTGGCTGCTCACGCTGGCTGCTGGCCACACACGGTAGCCCTGGCAACCCACTACAGCAGGGACTGCAGCCTATGCCATCACCGGCGACTCACTGCAGCCCAGCTCCAGATCGAGCTGTTGTTCAGCATCTTAGCTGGAGAGGGCAGTGTCACTGGCCCTCATATGTGGGATCCAAACTGGGGCCCTCGGGCGTCCCAAGCCAGCTCTTAACCAACGCGCCACTCGGCTGGCCCCATAAACTCATTTTAAACACAAATGACACATTGGTGCAAAATTTGCAACCTGTGGTACAGTTTTTTTTGTTTTGTTTTTTTAAAGATTTTATTGGGGAATTGGGGAAGGGGAACAGCCAAGTTGTTGTCCTTCAATTTTAGTTGCGGGTGGGCATAGCCCACCATCCCATGCAGGAGTCGAACTGGCAACCTTGTTGTTAGAAGCACGTGCTCTCACGTGGCCATCCTGCTACCTATTGGCAGCTCAGCAGCAGCTCAGCTTGGGTGCAGCTCACTGGCCCATGTGGGAATCGAGCTGGCAATGCTGTTGCTCAGAGCTCGCGCTCTTAACCAGCTGAGCCACTCAGCCGGCCCTTAAACTTTTTTTATTTTTTAATTAGTTTCAGGTGTACAACACAGTGCAATAGTTATACTTTTTACTCCTCAAAGTGAAACTTTCCTCCCCCAATCCGCTGCCCCACTCCTCCCCCTTCCCCCCGATATCACACATATCTATTACAATTCCATTGACTCCACTCCCTCTCTATACTCCACATCCCGTGACT